ATATATATATATATATATATGCTTTATGAAAGTCCACATTGGACGAAACACGTCAGCAATAACTACAGTTTTCCTATTGTCATTTATATTTATAAATATTGTCTTTTCTACAGACTCTGAGAAATTTTCATATATATATATATAAACAATGAAATGCTATGTTAAACTTACCAGTTTCTACTCTTTGATTTACGGAGATGTATTCCCTATCAGTATTGGTTATCAATTGAATTTATTTACAGAAATCATATATTTCTTAAGTGATGTAACTTAATTTTACCTAAAACGACACTAATTTGTTACGTAAATTTGTTTTGGATTTTTTTCTTTTCGCGCTTTTTTTAAAAAAAATTAGTTATGTGTAAAATTTAGGGTGAAAAACTGTTTTTTTACTGTGTGTTTGGTCTCCAGTTTTCAATAAAGAACGCTAAGATCTTTTGCAAACATTTAATAATTCATTTTTTTTTTTTCGTTTTAGAAAATATGCGTTATATTTTAATGCCACTAATAAAAACTACAAGATTAACTTTTAATTAATTTTTGAGACAGTCGTCATTAATTGGTTATAGGGAAAACCTATCATCAATATCGGATTTTTTTTTAATAAAAACCTATAATTGATACAGGATTTTCTTTTAAAAGCCTATAATAAATGCCAGATTTTTATTCTAATTATTAAAACTAACAATGGATTTTACAGTAGGCTTTAATGAGTTAAACTTCACAATTACTTTTGTGACTTCATTTGCTGATCATTATATAACTTGATATAAATGTCGAGTTTTGATTAAAAGAATTCTACAGTGCTTAGGTTTCGTGTGCGTCTCTGTACGATTCCTTCGAGATTAGTGTTTCTAAAAGACCAGCGGTCACCAATATTTTCAACTTCATTAACCACTAAATGTATATTAAATTTGGCGGACCACTAATATGAATTTAGATTTAAAAAAAAACAAAACATTTATATAATAATAATCGGAAAAACCTTTGTTTTGTTAATAGGAAATGCACCCATTAAAGATAACAAAGTTATAGTATAATTATTTTTAAAAAATTGAAAATTTTAAGTTTGCAAGTCATGTTAGCTTATACTAAAGCTGGATGATGTCACATTTGTGTACTCGTGTTTATTTCGAGATTAAATTAAGTCTTGGACATATATATAATTCATAATACGATTTGTTACTCATCATTTTTGAGTCTGAAGCTTTATAAAAAATTGAAATAATGTCCCAATTTTTCTGCAGACCATCAAAAATTTTGCACGGACTGCCAGTGGTCCACGGAACACCGGTTGACGACCACTGGTATAAACAGTTGTTGAAAGTAAACAGTGTATTCTAACCATGTTCATAATTAATATTATTTAGGGTTGGTTTCTTCTTTGTTTATAATCAGGGCTTTTAAACGAATGTTTCATCAACGCATATATGAAGTGATTCCGAAAAGTATGAGAAAAATTTGTCTATAAATATATAATGGACAGTCAAATCCATTACATTCACTTTCGTGCTAATAGACTTGGGAAAGTTATGAATCCGCTTCTTCTTTCCCCCACCCCCACCAGGAGAGACCGAGTTCTATAACCAACTGGTCTACCTCAAAAAGAAATGGTAACCTACTGCGTGGAAAAAAATCTGCCTCGTCAGTCATGTATCGAAAGATACATGATCGCCTAAGCGTGTATCACGCATGGCACATAACTGACTGACTATAATACATTTCGTGTAAATGGTATAAACCAGCGGATTACTAAATGTATAATTTTAAATTTGGCGGACAACTAATATGAATTTAGATAACTACATTTAGGTAAATATTAGGTTGGTGCAAAAATAATGACGTAATAATGTCGTTTTTTACCTTAAAAAATACGTCAAAAAACGGCATTATTACGTCATTATTTTTGCACCAACCTAATATATTTATATAATAATAATCGAAAAACTTATATTTTATTATTATGAAAGTGTTGTGGTAAACCCTCTTACTGTATAATGAACTCTTCCTTCTCTCATAAATACAAACTGCAAGAGTCGGACGGGAGCGCAGAGTGTGAAGTGGGGTGGAGTAGTAGACGCAGTGCTAATCTACTTATTACTAACACTATTGTTTTGTATATATCTTCAATATACTTTTTTCAACCGACCTTCGTCTTCCGTGTCTTTCTTTCTGGCCCCTAAACAGGCCAAAACCGAAAAGGACCCATTAAAGTTTAGTGTAATTATTCAAATAATATAAATTGAAAATTTGTAGTTTAAAACTCATGTTAGTTTATACTATAATTAAATGATGTCACCTTTATGTACTCGTGTTTATTTCGGGATTATATAGTCTTGAATATATATACCATTCATAATACGTTTTCCTACTCATCATTTTTTAATCTGAAGCTTCATAAAAATTGAAATAATGTCCCAATTTTTCTGCGGACTATCAAAAATTTCGCATGGACCACCAGTGGACCACCGGTTGGCGACCACTGTAATAGACAACATGAATATCAAATCTCTTTCAAACACCTTCTCAGGGAACTTTATATTTCCTTACGCAGAATTACGGAAAAGAATGCATATACGTACGTAGATACGTGTGTGTGTGTGTGTGTGTG